TATTTTGGGTTATTCACTCTTTTCCCATTCTTTTGGAAACAATAAAGTGCAGTGACGATTTTTATTTTGATCTGTATAAGTCTAGTCAATCCAATGACTTAGTCTTAAACATTTCTACCGCTACAAACTGGTTATAACAGAGATGTATCTAGTTACCACCCTTTCCAACAACAAAAGAATCAAATAGAAGCAACATGTATTTGATTACATGTTTGGTGTAATTAGTTACCACTCCCTAGTTTTCAGTATTTTTAAGAAGTTACTTTCTGTAATCGGTTAGAGGTTTGTTATAGCCGATTGCATGGTTGAACAATTTATTTTTCACTTTATTTGGTTAGCTACAATGATGTGTATTGTTGTATAAGTATCCCCTGTTGGGTTATTAATGAAATACCACTATTTTCCACCCTATTTCTCTCTAATCCTCCACTCTCCCCATTATTACTTCATTAATCATTAAATCTTGTGATTGGGGTTTCGCCTCAATAGGGTCATCATGAGGCAAAAATATTTACCTTGGACCAAACACTCACCTAAAGATCAAATACTCACCTAAATAAGTGAGTGAGACACCACATATTCATCCAAAATCTTAGGATGATAGGTGTATGAGTCCTCTCACTTATAAAGTGCTCAACCTCCATATTTTCAAGCAATGTGAGACTTACACAACTCACACTTATTTCTCGATAATTTTTCTCTCAAGTGTAAGTCCATCCACCACTCCATCAAGTGGAAGCTCTTTCATCTACATAGTTGTACCTCCATCAACAAACACCCTTTCCACATCACTTGCAATTTAATGGGACATGACGTCTGATCACCACCATGTCAGAAAGACTTTCGATATAAGGAGTCAATTCCTTAGTCGAATCAGACTCTGATACTACTGTCCGATCATCTTGGGGGGAAACATCTACATTGGATCAAACACTTACCTAAAGGTCAAAAATTCACCCAAACAAGTGAGAGAGACACCACATATTCACATAAAACTTTAAGGCGATATGTGTATGAGTCCTCTCACTTATAAATATTCAATCTCTACTTTTTTTAGCAATGTGAGACTTATACAACTCACACTTGTTTCTCAACACGACCTCTAATGCATACAACATATAACTGAGGCTTTGATGTCATTGAATTGAGGTTCCATTATAGCTCAAACCTTAATCCATAATGATGTTCCTTGACTTCTCTATACTGACATAAGATGTAAAGTTGTTGATAAATAACCTATACTTGAAAAGATCTCATCTCTCATGAGCTAATAGTCGTTTTAGAGAAAAAGATTAATTCCTTGGTTTTCTTTACAAAATGGTCTTTTGACTAGAATAAGGAGAACTGAGGAACATCTCTAACAACCATGATTTCATCCTTACTGTTTACTGGATTCCTGTTATCATTATTAACACATTTATACTCAACTAGAGTTTTGACCGCAACAAGAGAACTAGGAAATATCCATTAGAGTTTGTCTTTAAACTATAAAGAGACTCTACAAAGACCTCAAATATATTTCAAGGTTACTTTAAAAAAACTCTTTTATATCTATCGAGATGGTCAATAACCCCCAACATTAAATATGCGAAAGAATAAAGATAATATGGATAATATTTAGATGCGTGCTCGACAACTCGAAGGCTCTAAGGTTTGACAAATAATTAGGATGCAACTTAGAAAGTTTCAAACCTATATGAGCGACAACCACTTTTTCGAAATACAAAAACGGCATTCAGAACTCCCTTTCCTTTAAAATCATATATTTTAATGACTTTTCCTCTCCCACTTCTAATATAATCTATAACAGTTTCTCGGCTATCTAAAAAACTCTTCACCTTTTATTGCAAAAGTTAAGTTTAGAGAACTTTTCTCACTCATTTCATCATGAAACATGGAAAAAGAAAATAAATTCGATATTATCAAATCCACCATCCACCTCCTTTAAAGTGTAAAAACACACAATCTCACAAATAACTAGAACCACCATGATAGAATAAAAGCGTAAATATTTGTTTAAAGTAAAACTAATAATTATTTTTTAATTTTAAAAAATTAAATTGAATCCTAAAATTTTCTCCAAAATTAAATTAATAATTTATTCTTTATTCAATTAAATTGATCCTCTAATAATTTTTAAAATATGAAAAACTCATAATTTAAATTTAAAGATTAATTTGATAGATGGAGTATATAATAATTCAGACTATTATATTTTTATAGTTAAGATACCAAACAAATAAATAAAATAATTGACAAATTTACTCTTAAAAGTTCAATTAACTTAATTTGTTTAATGCGTAATTATTATGATAATGTCTTTTCAGTAATAAGAGTTTAATTATGTGATGAAAATTGAAAGAAAAAAAACCATACAATGAAGATAAAATTCCATTTGAAATAGCTATAGAATAATTTCCAATGCAATTTAATTAATAATTAACTATTTTCTATTTTATTTTTAAAATAGCAAACTATAAAAGAAAACTTTGAAAAAAAAACTTAAATGAAAAGTCATTTTGTCATTTGGTAAAGTTTTGTTGACTATATAGAACGGAAAATAAGTAACACAAATAATACAAAATCCACACAAAACACCCAAAAATTAAAAAAAATAGTTAACCATGTGTTTAGAAAATTGTCTTAAAATAAATAAAAAAGATAACAAGATAATAAACAAGTTGCATGACATTACATTCCTTATAGATCGCCGCAACCTTTTCGACACCATTTTGGTTTGGTGGTGGATAACAGGTGGATACGTTACTTAAACTTTTTATTATTATTATTATTATTATCATTATCATTATATATTCCTAAACTAAACTTCTCTACGTCAAGATTACATTAATTATATTTAATTTATGTACTACACTTACTATATGGTAACTTGATGTTTGGTTTTCTTCCATTCATTCACAATCATTAAACTATTCTATAGGTTTGACTTTAAAAATAATATTTCACACTAAATTAATTAGCGTTACTAGATTATTAAATTCATTTGACTCTAAGTATAATCTACATATGTGTCAAAAAAAATATAATCTACATATACAATATAATATAAAATAGTAATTAATAATAAATCTAATCCATACTAAATGTTTTAAAAGAAAATTTTGTTGTTTATTATGATTCCCTCCAATTTAATAGATTAATGTATGCAATTACATGTACATGAAAGTATATATTAAAAATAAAAACATTTAATATGTATATGGTAACTTGATGTTTGGTTTTCTTTTGTTCTTTCATAATCATTAAATTATTGAATATATTAGACTTTTAAAATAACTATTATTTTCTACTAGAAATAAATTACCATTATTAAATTATTAAATTTATTTGACTCTAAAATAATATATATAAAATATAAAAAATAGTTTAATTAACCAAAATTTTTTAAATGAATTGAATTTTATATATAAAAAATTTATTTGTTTCTATTTCTATATTGACTTAATTTTTCTGAGATAAAATTATATAAAAAAAAGAAGCATAAATTTTTTTAAATTTTTTATTATTATTTATTACGATTCTCTCTAATTTCATGAATAATGCAATTGCATAAAAATGATAATTGGTATATATAATATAAATTAAAAAAATATTTTTTAAAAAATTAGATATTCTTTATGCATAACTTCAAAGATTAATCCTTTAAATTAAATAAAGATTACATAAAATTTTTATTGTAAGATTTAATGTTGTTACATATTCAATGTTAGAATCAAATCCATAATCTCTAAATAAAGTGAAAAAAATCTCTTACTATCTCATTCAAATACTTTATCAACATATTGCAATTATTCAAAAACATAATTTTACATAAATTATTAAAAAAGTCAAATATTTTTAATTTTTCAACAATTATTTAATAATACTACTATTTAACAAGTTGTGATTTATTTAAAACATTTTTATATCATAAAAAATAATAAAACTTTGTCTATACTTTTTCACTAAGTTTCATGAACTAGATTGAATGAAATTTTGGAGTCCGGATGCAAGAGTGAGAGTAAGAGAGAGAGAGAGAGAGAGAGAGAGAGAGAGAGAGAGAGAGAGAGAGAGAGAGAGAGAGATATGAGGGAGGTGTAAGAAACGGAGGATGTTAGCATTTTCTGACCTAAAGCTTATATCTTTCTACTTTGTTGCAAGTTTGCATCTTTCATTTCAGCTTCATTCAATTCAACTCTTCTACTTCTGATTCTACTTTAGATCTAAACATTCTGGGTAACTTTGTTTTCTTAATCCAATTTTTTTTTTTTTGATATTTTCTATGATGTTTTTTTTTATGGTTTCAAATCTTGAAGCTTTTGGTCAACTTGATTTCTGTTGAAATTACTGAGAAAAAGTTCAATTTTTTTTCAAGCTTGTAAAAATCTCTCTTTTATGTTTGTGGAATGAAAATGGTATAGTAATGAGTCAAATTTAGTTCAACATTTTGTAAGATGAAAGCTTGAAGTAGGTTGTAGGATTTGGAATTTGTAGATTATTTGATTACTTGTTTGTTTTCTGATATTTGTTCATGCTTTGCAGATTTTGGTGGGTTGTGATCTAGCTTAGAAGTTTTGATCAAAAGAGATTAGAGGTAGTTTCTCTTCCTGAATCCCTTACATTTGCTTCTTCCATGTTTTAACAATGATTTTTGAAAGATAGTTGTTAGTGTTTTTTTTTTCTTCCCTTTTGATGTCTGCTAAATTTGTTGGTAAATGTGAGATAAATTTGCCATATTTGTTGTAATAATTTATTTCCTTAATAAGGTGTTTCATTACCATATTAAATCCAATGAAGATTTGTAGAGTTTGTGTTTTGGTTGGAAATTGAACAATAATAGCTGATTTCCAACAATGATGATAGAATTTGATGTGACTGTTGAGCTGAAACTCTTCTTTGATGGCAGACATATGCTGTCACAGGGGTTGGTTGTATATAGTCCATCAGAAGCTCACAGAAGAGCTATAATAATATAGTCATTCTTGGGATCCTCCTGCAGAATGTCATTCCGCAGCATAGTTCGTGACGTTCGTGATAGTTTTGGGAGCTTATCTAGGCGTAGTTTTGATGTCAAACTTACTGGTCATCATCATAGAGGGAAATCTCATGGTTCGGTACAGGATTTGCATGATCAGCCTCTTGTAATTCAAAATAGTTGCTGGGCGAGCTTACCCCCAGAATTACTATTTGATGTCATTCGACGGCTAGAGGAGAGTGAGAATACGTGGCCTTCGCGGAAGCATGTAGTTGCTTGTGCTTCTGTTTGTCAGTCTTGGAGGAATATGTGCAAGGACATTGTTAAGAGCCCTGAGTTCTGTGGCAAACTTACATTCCCCGTGTCCCTGAAGCAGGTTGATCGCATTACCTTTTTTCTTGCTGATTATCTCATGTTTTTTTCTTCTAAACAACACATTACATTTATGTTGACATAATGATGAAAGTTGATATGGTTGCAACTTGCTGACATTTTTGTTTGTTTCACTTTTCAGCCCGGGCCACGGGACGGAATCATTCAATGCTTTATCAAAAGAGATAAATCTAACTTAACATACCACCTATTCCTTTGTCTGAGCCCTGGTAAATGCTCTTCTCTTAAGTGACCTCTCTAGTTCATATGGTTTTACATTCGGTTGCTTCTGGTGTGATCATTTAGATTTGTTATGATGAAATGTTTCAAAATTCCAACAGTTTAGGATTTTTATGCTACTGGTAATATGAATATTTATGCATTTGTTGTTTGTGGCTGCATGTCTCTGAACACTTGCATGCATGGTGGATATACAGGCCGATTTTTGAAATCACCGCTATGGCGGATATGCATGGTGGCTTTTGGGCTCACCGCAATGGTGAACGCCGGCTGATATTGCGGCCTTTTCCGCCATAATCCGCTATAACGGCGCCGCAAAGTGGCCGAAATGGCGGGATTTACATGGAGGTTTTTGGGTTCTCCGCTATGGCGGATATACATGGCGGTTTTTGGGCTCGCCGCAATGGTAAATAGCGGCCGATATTGCGGTATTTTCCGCCATAATTCCCGCTATAATGGCGCCGCAAAGCGGCCGATATGGCGGGATTTTGGCTCTCTGCCATGGACCGCCACCGACAACACTGACACGGGACCGGATGACACTTGTAATTGTGTAATTTGTGTCTAAGCTGTTACTAGTATTAGATGGTTAAATTTATATCAATTATTTTAGCAACATTCCTTCTAAAGTTTTAATGCTATGGAGGTTTCGTGTAATGTAGTCAACAAAGATATAATCCTCATCTGTCCAACAAAGTAAATAAGTTGCATTATTTTATATTTTACAACCCATTTCATATTCCATTAATTGCTGCCGTTGAAACACTTAAATCTGTCCACATGACTTAAGAAATGGGAGTCTGTCGAAATCAGAGTCTGATATTTTCTGTTGAACTCATTAAATTTTTGTTCCCGTTTCAAATTTATTTTCTGTCTTATGCAGCTTTGTTAGTCGAAAATGGAAAATTCCTCCTCTCTGCTAAGAGGACAAGGAGAACAACCTACACTGAGTATGTTATTTCCATGGATGCTGACAACATCTCTAGATCAAGTAATACATACATTGGAAAGCTGAGGTAAGTTTTCTGCTTGCAAATGTTTGTCCTTATCGGTTTATTCTATCACCGACTATGTTAAAAACTTGGTTTTGTGTCTATAAAAATATACTGTTAAAAACTACTATCGTTTAAGGTTCAGATTATCAAACTGCATACGATCTTTGCCTAGTTGCAATGAATTTCAGTTGAAGGATTAAGCTTTTCTAACTTTATATGTGAGTGCACATAATTATAATTATTTAAAAATAAGTTGTAACTTTAATATATTACATAAGGTGACACATATATATTCTCATTTCTCATTTTTCTATTCATATCTTAAAAACCATTTACCGAGTTTTTTCTGTTCTATTTTTTATTTCTGTTATCTTACTTGCAATATTTTATATTATTTTTTTGGTATTACCAGATCAAACTTTCTTGGAACAAAATTCATTATATATGATACGCAGCCTCCCCACACTTCTGCCCATATATGTCCTCCAGGAATTGGGAAGACGAGCCGGAGATTTTCTAAAAAGGTATCTCCTAAGGTCCCATCCGGGAGTTACAACATAGCTCAGGTAACATATGAACTGAATGTTCTCGGGACTCGTGGCCCAAGGAAGATGCACTGCATTATGCATTCAATACCAAATTCAGCACTTGATGCTGGCGGATCTGTTCCCGGACAGCCAGAGCTCATTCCCCGTTCCCTGGAGGACTCATTCCGTAGCATCTCATTTTCAAAGTCCCTAGACCATTCCATTGAGTTCAGCAGTTCACGGTTTTCCGAGATTGGAGGATCATGCAACGAGGATGGTGACGGCAAGACGAGACCGTTGATTCTGAAAAACAAGCCTCCAAGATGGCACGAACAGTTACAGTGCTGGTGCCTGAATTTCCGGGGACGAGTAACTGTCGCGTCTGTTAAAAACTTTCAGCTGATTGCTTCTACTCAACCACCTGCTGGTGCGCCGACACCATCTCAACCAGCTCCACCGGAACATGATAAGATTATTCTACAATTTGGCAAAGTCGGGAAAGATATGTTCACCATGGATTATCGATATCCGTTATCTGCATTCCAAGCTTTTGCAATATGCCTGAGCAGCTTTGACACCAAGCTGGCTTGTGAATAAGTTAATCATGAAGTCTTTAAAGTGAACTAATCAAACTTTTGTGATGGTAAAAATTCTCTTTATTTTTATATATCTCTGTCCTATTCTTATCACTAGTGTTTATGGGATTAGGCCATTGTTATTGCTCAGATTCTGCATGACTAAATTGTAACTGATGATGTAATAGGGTTTAAAGCATTTTTTACTTAAAATGTTGCTGTGTTTCTTTCTCAGTAGTTTCTTGCATACCAATGCTATGTTATTATCCTTATGTCAAAAAGTGAATCAATCTATCATATTTTAAATATGTTTTTGTCTCTAATATTTTCATTTAAAAAATACATTATGTTATTAAAAAATGTACAAAGGTAACATAATGTGCAACGTTCAACTAGAGTATACTAGTACTAGCTATAGCTGTCATACTGTATTTTCAAACAATTATTTTAGTATTTGTTTTCTGTTTTTGTGAATCCAAACTTACAAATAAAATTACCGATGACACCATTAAATATGATGTTAAGGAGAGACCAATGAGATCCATGACCGAGTAGCAGAAAATCTGCTCAATTAATTGAATTTGGACGATTAATATTAATGACTCAATCCATGTTTAACGCATGGAGGAAAAATCTCAGTTAATGAAAAAATCATTACAAGGGTTCAAATTTAAACCAGAGAATTGATTTTAGGAGCATTTTTTAAGCATGGATTTGAAGAATTCATCTTGGAGGCAAGATTGAAGGTTCTCACCCATACATCTATTATCCACAATTCTCCCTTCTCTCTTGTTATATTTGTTGTTCTTTTTGATAGAATGCATTTGCCAAACAATTTGGAGGGTGTACTAGATGTTTTGGTGAAGAAATAATACATGTAGGACACCACAAATATGTTTTTTGAAAAATAAATTGTGATACGGTGTCACCAACTGTTTATACTGGTTTTGTTGTTCTTTTTGATATAATGCATTTGCCAAACAATTTGGAGGGTGTACTAGATGTTTTGGTGAAGAAACAATACATGTAGGATACCACAAATATGTTTTTTGAAAAATAAATTGTGATACGGTGTCACCGACTGTTTATACTAGTTTTGCGTTTGTGTTCGCAAATGTTGCGGTAAACAAGAGTCTCCACCGATTTTTCTTTTATCCAACAAAGGAAAGGGTGAAAAGAACCGAAAAAGACTTTTTTGAGTAAGGGGGGTAGATTATGGAAAGGGAAGATGTTAGTATCCTTTCCATCCGTAGTTTTCTACGGGCTCTTAGATGGTTAGCTCAGTTGAAAAATACCTTGTGCTTTTGTGTGTTTTGAAAAAAAGTGGTTTGAAAATGCCTTAGTGCGGCGATTCGTTTTATGATAACTCTTGTATCAGTCCTCAAGAGTTGATAAAGCGTTTTTTTGAAAGTGTTTTTGAAAGAAGTTTTGTGTAAGTGTGAAAGTTTTGTCTTTGAGCAAGCATCTATGAACTATCTACTTATACTCGAAAAAGTTTGTTCTTTTCCTTCCATCCTTTAGGCAGTGCTATTCTACTATTAATGAGTAGGTAGTCCTATCGTTGGATGTATGAGGGACAATCGAAGGGACGTACAGTCGCAAAAGCAACATATAGAGACGCTTTAACAATTTTGTTTAAGAGACTAGATCATTTACCGAAAGGCAATACTGTAGGGTCATCGAGAGACTATGATCTTTTGATTTGAGGTTCTTTGCTAAAGCGTCCCTACTTTTGAGGGACATGACTGTTTTATTTTCCGAAGGCAACCGAAGTGGGAGTACCCTAGAGGTGTATATGTGCAAGGTGTGTTATGTTCAGTTATTTTTGTCTTTTTTGTTAGGTTTGCTAACGTTTGATTATTAATTTTGTCATGCAATCCTATTACCATACATCTAACATTTAATATATGTACAGGAATGTAAAGTGCGGAAACGTAAATCCTACGCTATTACATGGCTTTAGGGATTAATTACATGTCAAAAAATGAAGAGATAAAAGCAGTAAATGTCCTAATTATTCTATTACAACCCATGATCAATTACAATAATATGAAAAATGCGAAAATAAATAAATGCGCGTGAATTGAAAAAAAGAACGTCTAAAAATCTTAAGGAAAAGGAAATCTTTTTGTTTGTTTTTATTTATAAAAGAAAGCAAAGCCTAAGTCTATTTAATTTTAATTAAAAAAAATACTAAAATAATTTATTAATTAATTAACAAAATTAATTTGGTTAATAAGACACTAGCCTAATGTTTTTTTTTGTGATTTTGTTTATTGTTAATTTAAAAAATAAATTAAGAAAGGAGTAAGTAACACAAAAAATAGAAATGCAAGAAAACAAGTCTTTCGATCCAGAGGAAAAGGTAGCTTTCGATCCAATGAAGAGGCAGTTTTCGATCCAATGAATGGTGATTGTCTTTCGATCCAATGAAGAGGCAGTTTTCGATCCAATGAATGGTGATTGTCTTTCGATCCAGGGGACAAGCTGCTTTTTGATCCATATCTGTAAGACAAACATTAGAAAAATAAAGATGCAGGACCTGGGTGTCGAACCCAGGTCGTTCGATCTTGTGCGTGTTGGTCTACTCAGGCTTGATCTGCAGTACAAGTGTTAGAAAAAGAAACAAAGTCTTGTGAACCCAGCTTGTGTCGAAGGATTTTGGACATCCGATCGAAGCTCCTTGTCCAGATGCCAATTGAAGGACAACCTGCTCAGATGTCAATCGAAGACACCTTGTCCCAATGCCAATCGAAGATACCTTGTTTTAATGCCAATAAAAGACACCCTGCTTCAATGCCAATCGAAAACACCTTGTCCCAATGCCAATCAAAGATACTTTATTTCAATGTCAATCGAAGACACCTTGTTTCAATGTCAATCGAAGACACCTTGCTTCAATGCCAATCGAAGACACCTTGTTTAACTTCAAAATTATTATTTTCTTTAAGCAAGTGTTTATAATCACCCATATAAGAGAAAACCTTGGAAAACACGAGAGGGCAAATTTTGGGGTACAACAGCTGCCCCTGTTCAATCTTCTTAAACTTGAGGATTTAGATTGGCTTGTCTGCCTTTCGTGATCTGAAGGTGGAAGATGATTGAACACTAGAGTGCCCAAAAATTTGCACTCACAAGAAGTAACACTGATAGTTGATGATGGAGGGAATGGCCTTACAGGTGCCATTTGGAGAAGATGAATGAGAGTCATCGAGGATGGGTTTAAAGATGCCATCCAAAGTAGATGCTGATTTCATAAATGGTTCCTTTGTGGGGAATTCTTGCTCCTGCTGTCTGAGGATGACTCTGCTGGGGAATATGGGTTTCTGTTGTTCTCCTGCTTGAGGAAAACTCTGTGGGGAATAGAGTCCAAGAGCTTCAGTTGTCCAAGCCTCTACTGAGGAGTTATCTCTGTACTGGAGAGATGAGAGTTTGCTGCTTTCTGGTTGAAATCCAGGCTTCACAGTAACTTCCTGGGGATAATGGAATTAACCGTTACCTGAAAATGTATTAGAAAGAGCCTGTGTAGGGCTGCTTCAGGATGAATTTGTGTTAGAATGTGTGATGCGGTGGGAGAACTGACTTGGGTGTTTGCGTTTGATCGCAATTGTGCGGTTAGCAAGAGTCACCACTGACTTTTCTTTTATCCAAAAAGAAAGGCTGAAAAGAACAGGAAAGACCTTTAGAGATGTTTTCTTGAGTTCGGGGGGTAGATTATGAAAAGGGAAGGTGTTAGCACCCCTTTCATCCATGGTTTTCCATGGGCTCTTAGTTACTTGCTAGATCACTTGCTTTTGTTTTGAATGTGCTTGTGGTGTGGGTCTTGAAAGTATTTTGAAAATGTCTTTGTAATGGTTCTCCTCTCTATAAGAACGCGTACAAAGTGTTGTTTCGGAAAATAGTTCAAATAGGTGTTTGTGGGATGTGTTTTTGAAAGTGTTCTTGGAAAGATGTTTTTGTAATGGTTCTCGTCTCTATAAGAACGTATACAAAAAGCTTTTGTCTTTTGAAAAAGGTTTTAATGTGAAAGTGTTGGTGTAAAATGTTTGGTTGTGAGCAAGCGAGCAACTAAGAGCGAATCTACCTACTCAAAAGGTCTTAAATGTTCTTTTCCTCCTTTAGATGTTGCTATCTTACCATTGATTTGGTAAGAAGCCCCATCATTGGATGTGAAGGGACAGGCGCGGGACGTTTGTATAGTCATAGAAGGCAACTTATGAGACGCTTTAGCAATTTTTCGTAAGGGACTAGATCATTTTACTGAGGGCAACATCGAGGTACATCGAGGGACTACGATCTTTTTTATTGAAGGGTCTTTGCTAAAGCATCCCATATTAGAGGGACATGACTGTATTTCCGAGGCAACGAGCGAGGTTACCCTAGAGGTGCGCGTGTGAAAAAGTGTGTTCGTTTCAAGTTATTATTTTTTAAATTAGGTTATCTAGCGATTGATTTCGAATCTTGCCATGCACGCCTAATTACTATACAGTATAAGAAAGACGGTAAATTGCGGGAATTTAAAAATCTACGCTATTACATAGCTTTTTGAGAATGGGGAGTACAAATTTACAAATGGGGATGGAGCGAATCGACAATGCGATTAAAAGTCTAAATAACAATCAATACAACCCAATTGAATTAAAAATAAATAATTAATTAAACTAAACAAACTATTAAAGTAAAATAATTGGCAAAAATAATATTTTTTGGTATTTTATGTTTGCGAGAAAATATAAAAAGAAAATAAAATCTTATTCTATATTTTTTGGAATTTTAGTTTATTATGAATAAAACAATTTCAAAAAATGTTAACTAAAGGTTAATTATTCACAAAGCCTAAACTAAATAAATATATGTATTTTTATTTGAACTCTCAATAATTAAAACTTAAACTAGCTTTGCCATCAAATAATGAAATCAAGAAAAATAGAGAAAGGTCCTAGTAGGGGTCGAACTCAGAACCTGATAACACCGAATCGCACTATGTTTCTGACTTGAATATCACATGTTTTCCTTAGTTTT